CTCTCTCTCTCTCTCTCTCTCTCTCTCTCTCTCTCTCTCTCTGACACGCGCGTGTGTATGTGTGAATGTGTGTTGTCGTCGGGAGGAGATGGTTTTACCTGTCGCTGGAGTCCCGCTGGACGGTTTCACAGAGAGTGGAGGGCCACCGTCACCTCCTCCACTTCCCTCCCCCTTCTTCTGGGTTGGTTTTTCTTTTGGTGTTATATGAAGCTGGGTTGAAGCAGAAATTGGACGGTGAAATGGGGACGGAGGAGGACCAGTCGTTGGGACCAGGACAGTGTAACTTATCCAAGCGTAACAATTTCGAGTGGGTTGGTGGTGGTGGTGGTGGTCTTCCAAACCTGTCATGTTTATGACTGGGTGAGGCCCCGATCTATGAATTCAATAATACGGAATGTGAGGAAAGGGAAGAGAGTACAAACTTCGCTTCGGGTGAGACTTAAGTAAATGATCATGTGCATATCTTTCTTTTTCTAGGGATTCGGAACTTTATTTCAGTTTCGTGATCGGATCTTAGGCTTTGCGGGTTGGGAGAGTTTTGCATGTGGCTGTTTTGATTCAAAGGACGGATAGTTTTTGAATGAAAGAAGTTGTGTTGGTGCCAAACTATCATCTCGATTATCAGTTTTAGATTGTGCTGCTCCAGGTTTATGGCGACGTAGCCTGGTCTAGTTTGAGTTCGTAGTTCGTGTTGAAATCTCGCGCTTTCTATCAATAGTGCAATAGAATGGGGTGGGGGAGTAAACATAGGCGAGGACACGTTCGATAAGTGCACGGTCCTGATTAATGAAAAAAAAAACGAGCAACGGAAGAAAAATATTTTAAATGTAGCCTACTAATTCAGATAATTGGTATTCCATCTTTGATCTCAACAAAGTTCTTGATTTTATCCAGGTCATTGGTCTTCGCTTAAAGATGTAGATAGCGCAATTTAATAAAATGTAAACGGTTGTTATTACTATTGAATTTTTACCATGGATTTTTAACTTCAACAATTCTGATTTGCACAGTAAAACCAATGCATGTTTGCTGTGAACTAACGTGAAAACAACCAATTTGTGTCCCATATATGGCCTTTATATTGTTGTGAGCGCCATAGAGCTCTCAGCAAACATTCGAAAAAAATAAAACAAACCGCGGCAACTGAGCAGCACTGATCAGGAATGTGAAACAACAACCACAACGTAACGTAGTCTTGACGGTCGATGAGTACTCCGTGTGGTGCCGTTTGAATTCTCCAACGTACCCAACAGCCCATGACGTCTGTCCGAGTCCTATTTCATGTGGCGAGCCTTCATGTGGTGCATTTGAATTCCGTGACTCCGACTCCAATTCCTGATTGTATTATTCAGTGTCAAAACTCGGAGAAAGCCATTTTATTTTGTGATTCTCCTGTGTAGCGGTGGAGTGTAGTAAAATATTTATGGCCTGCCGTCCACTTCAGACGCCTTCGCCAACATTCTGTTAGAGGCGTAACCTTGACTTTCTATTTGGATTATATTGTTATTCAGCATGGCGCATAAGTACAGCACAGGTGTTGCTGTAGATGACAAGACGAGCGGGAATGAGGATGCTCGCATCGAGTTGAAGAAATTCTCCAAAGGTAAAAACAACAAAAACAGTGACTTCGTCTTTGTTCATTCGTCTGTAAGTTTGGTTTACAATGGTGGCACGAACAGTTACAGCATATTATACAAACCAAAGGGACAAAATTCAAATGGGGAAATGTAATAAAGTTGTATTTTAAAAACTTTTCCAGTGATTGAATCTTATGCAGCTTTGGTAGAACAAACAAAGCACACATCAGTTTAAGCAAACTTATTCAGAGATATACGCTGCTTTCGGAGGATTCCCGTTTTAGTTTTAGGTGACATCCTAGTGTTACATTCTAGATGACACCCCATTGTTAAAACACTGCAGTGTTAAATATATATGTGTCAAAATTCATTTGCTGTTCGCTAAATAAAGAGGGCGTATTTCTTTGGCAATTTGGAGATCGCTCTTGCTAGTTCACAAATGCAATGATGCAATATTGTTTTCGACAATTGCCAAACTTTATTCAGTTCAGTGTTGTGACAAAGTTCACGCTGTCGTTCGACCTGGAGTTCCTGTTCTGAAATCTGGCTGTTTGAATTTCAAATCCAAGTAGGATTCAAAGTTTCTTGTCTTTTGTCCCTGTGTGTGAGTGTGGGAGGGGTGGGGGTATTGCCTAATACCATTATATCAGTCCTGGCATCATGTTTGGGGACGAAGTGCCTCGCTATAATCGAAAATGCCACGGGTTGTTGGACTGCGTGACTAGTGGGTTGTACTTCTTTTTTTTTTTTTTTAGAACTTTACCCTTTGACACCAACTCTACCGCACTCTTGTCGAAAAGCCTATCAAATGAACCGGTCTTGTTGTGAGTTCACTAATAGAGGTTAATCTTTCCTCTGTCTTGTCCAGGCAAAGCTATTGCTGGATGCACCGATTGCTCAGTTGTTGTGATGGACTAAGGGGCCAACGACCGTGGTTCGAATCCTCCTCGGGCGGGCCTGTCACACTATTGAGTTGCTTGTGGGAGTTTCCATGGTTCTTTACTCTTTAACCACTTTGTTAGGTCCTGTGTGAGATTGATGTTGGATTCGGAGGTGTCACCTCTTGAATGTCACACTGAAGTTGTTTTTTTTTTTCAGTACTAAATGGCTGTTATCGTGTGGATTTGTTCCTCTTTACTGAAACAAACTCTTCTGGACATTACAGGAGAAACATTAGCTATCTGAGAGCGCACAGGTCACAGCTTACATAGTTACTGGGTCAATGAGCGTCGTGCATGCCGATTACTTCTCTGTAGGTCTTATTGTGATAAACGACATAAACTGGCACCCACGGCTGTTCTGGCGAGTGATAAATTCATTATAAATCAAAACCGCGTGCTGATAACGGTTGCGTGTTATTTTTAATTAAGATATATATTATAAAGCATTACACCAGTCATGGTCTTTATCTGTTAAGCTTTCTGCAAACTCCCAGAATGTTTGCAGGATTTTGTCAGAAAATGACAGTAAAAGAACGTCGGCGTAATTTTTGTATACTAGTATTCGTGAACTGTATACTTTTAGTCAAAAGGAAATCTACCCCCTCCCACACACACACAAACACGGACAACAACAAAACGTATGAAGCGTGAACTATTGCCGATTAGGTAGGGTTGGATGAACGTGTCATCTGGTTCTTGGATTATTTTTTAAAAAGGAAACCCTGTGTCCTTAAAAAAAAAAATCTACCAGTATAAAATTTAGGCTTAATTAAAAAAAAAATTTGACGTAGCCTACCTGCTGGTGCCATACAAGGGTCCAAATGTTAATGAGTCTGCGCTTTTTAGATACGTATTCGGGCTCACACGTTGTCCCACATTCCCACGCACACCCACACGTATACACACCCACAATTTCTGTTGGTATTTGTAGTAGTTTAACCCTTAATTTAAAAAAAAAGAAAAAGAAAGAAGAAACGCCGCTGTGACCCTTTCGGTTCTGGAAACCAATTTGCCGGTTGTATGTATTTTT